TGATGAAGCTCTGAATGATAATGAGTGGATACTCGCTATGCAAGAAGAGCTAAATTAATTCACCAGAAATGACGTTTGGGATTTGGTACCAAGACCAAAAGAATTCAATATTATTGGAACCAAATGGGTCTTCAGAAACAAATTGAATGAGCATGGAGAAGTTGTAAGAAACAAGGCAAGTCTAGTTGCTCAAAGGTATAGTCAGCAAGAAGGAATTGACTACACAGAGACTTATGCTCATGTGGCCAGGTTAGAGTCTATACGCCTACTCATTTCTTTTGCTGCAAAGAATAACATCACTCTTTATCAAATGGATGTTAAGAGTGCCTTCTTAAATGGTGTTATAGAAGAGGAAGTGTATGACTCGACCCAACAACTAGATACATATACAATGTATCACAAAAGAATCCTATACATCCTAGCTAACCGACCAAAAGATCAAGGCACACTTCACAAAAGGACCTCCAGTCTACCTACTCTGCAATGCCTCATAGGGCACCATAAAACAGCAGAAGGGTGAGAAATATTATCATAATAATCATATATACACACACACACACAAGCATAGAATACACATATTCCACATTTTTCACCCAATTCATCATACACATCACAATGTATATATAAACAAATATGGATAATCACCAAGCATATTTCAGCATGCATACATCCTAAATTCTCAATTCAACAATTCATACACATATGTACACTTCCATACAATAATTATACCTATGCCATGTGACTCAATGCAGCTCAATGCAACTCATGCCATGTGGTACCAACACTTGTTATCATTTTTCGGTTTTTACACTTAAACCGGGTCCGTTCCCTAGACCGATAACAACAAAAGCCCATTCCCTAAGCTTTCAAACCTCACTCTAGGTTTGGGACAAGTCACTAGTCTCCACGAAACTAGCAGTATTTCCTCTTGAACAAATGATGCGTATGCAATCAACAATCATATGCACTTAAGACCGTTCTCGCATCTTAATCCCATGCATACTCAAATAATTCATCACACAAGAATTATAACATGATTGCACACACAACACATTTCATAATAATCAAAGTATTCATACTTTCAACATCATCACCATATTCATCAAGTAGTACACAAGAATCAATTAGATTCAATCACAAATACATATTCATGAATTCTTCACATACAATCGCATACAATGGATATGCATTCAGATTATCGCGCCAAACAGCAACGAACTCCATCACATCATCATACACTTTTAATCAATTTAAACAATGCATATATTTGCCAAAAGGCCACATTTCACGATCGATTCTATAATCTAGGATGCACGCCATATGGCTACCCATAGCATACAACTATGCAAATCAGAAAGACTGATCATACTCGAGCCGAACAATCAACGTTGGATGGAACACAACAAAAAATAAGAATGTTGTCACGCTCGCTACACCCCTCGCTTAGCGAGTCCTTGGCGAACACTCGCTACTGGTTCGCCTAGCGAACAAGCTCGCGAAGACAGTCAGAAGCTACTGGAAGGATTCGCTACTGGCTCGCTAGAGCCTCGCCTAGCGAACAAGCTCGCTACATCACTCGCTACCAGCGAAGAGGATCATTTCCATTCTGCTCAAGTCTGGGGACGTTCGTTGGCAACTCGCTACCAGCTCGCTTAGCGAATGACTCGCCACTCTGCTCGCCTAGCGAACGTGCTAGCGAGTGTCTGCGTACTCAAAAACCCCAACTGTCCAAAAACCTCAGAAACTCCCAAAATCACCCGATTCAATTCAAACAAGTTCCATTAGTCTTATCCTAACATTCCTCAACTAAACTACACTATTAATTCCAGATTCTAACCGTTCAAACATCGGTTTCTATGGATTAAACCATTTCTGACCTAGAATGGAAAAAGATGGAAAACATCCAAACAATCCAAACACACACATACATAATCACACACATTGATATAATAATAAGATTTCACACTTTTACCCGATTAAATCGACTCCTAAGGGTTGATCTTAATGAATCCAAGCTTTCCTCTCTTTTCCTTCTCTTTTCTCTTCTTCCTCTTTCTTTCTCTCCTTTCCTTCTTTTCTTTCTATCCTTTCTTTTCTCTCCTCTTTCTCTTATATCTCTTTCTATTCTATTCCTCTCCATCATATTTTCTTCTCTCAAAATATCTACCCATTCATTTAAATTAAAGAAATCACATAAATCAATTAATTAACATAAATAATTAATTATTAAAAATTGGGCTGTTACAATACTCTGTTGTATTTGACTGATCTTGAAGATCCAAGTAGGCATTCACGTCACCATTGTTGGGTTTACAGTTATCGGGTCTCAGAAAAAGTTGAATACAATCCTTAGCGTGTTCTCTCCTCTGCCGGTTGGCTTATATCTTCTTCTCGCTTAAGATGGGAGGGGGTATAGGGACCTCAGTGCGATTAACCATTATGCCGAAACTTGATAAAAGGAATTCTAATGAGTCGAATGAAGAATCCTCTTCTTATAGGGAGTCCCTTGATACCCTTTACAAATCAGCTTCATCAGATAAGGAGAAGACCTTTGGTTCCAAATGATTAATGATCAATATGAAGGAGATGAGAATCATGAGATATCCTTATTCTTGAAATAGAAGAAGTATCACTCTTAGAATCACTCGCTAGGTTAGCGACATCATCGCCCATCCTGTCTAGACAACGCGAAGTGCATAAAGAAAAGCTGAGTTGAAGAAGGTACATGACTACGAGATATTGATAAAGCTGAGAAAAGGAAGAAAGGAAAAAACTTTGAGCAAGGCATTATAGATTGCTCCACTTAATACTCTCAAGGAATGGGGAACAAAGAAGTTTTATGTGAAAGTGAGTGTAAGTTTGAATACCAAGGGTTGCAAAAATTTCCAGACACTCAACTCCTCATATTTATAGGCAACTACAATTGAAAGATTTAAACCAACTAAAAAAAGAAGTCACAAGATCAACGACTAGATTTCCCTTTGTGTATTAACGCAAACTCGAGCGCACACAAGTGAAGAAAACTATGAAACATTTTGATTATGGGTATGCATTTAATGCGCTTGTTCTCCACTATTTCTTCAACTGATTCTAATAGTTTTAATTCTATTTCATATTAGACAACATCCTGGAGGCCAACCAACATCACTTAAGACTTTTCCCGACTCATTTAGTGCCTAGAAAAGCCTTATGGCAACTGTTCTAGGCTGGCCAAATGGTCAAATGGCTAAGGTCCAATTCATCTTAAATTCACTCCACTTGATCCAATGTATAAAACTAATTCATGTGAAGTGCGAAGTACACACGTTGATCTCCATTTTTTACCATACTATTCTTGAAACTTGAATTGACTTAACATTCATTTCGAGAACATTAGTTCTTCAACTGCATTCATTTCTAATTCCTGAACGGAACATATCCCTTGTCTCATATCAAACTAAATAGATTAATATCAAGAAAAACATACTTCAAACCAAACGAATTAGAATCAATTCATAAGAAAATGTCATCTACTAAATTTTTTTTATTAGCATCAGAGGAATTATTCAATTAATATTCTTTGCTTGACTAAGGAGAAATAAATTTTAGTTAATTATATATATTTTTTCTAATAATAGTATCATATTTAACTAACATGGAGTAAAAAAAAACCCTATAAGACAAAGCTCCAACAATTAGGCCCTTTACTTAGTCCCTTTTATTTATATCTCCTACTACATGGATATTTTTTAGAGTCTTTATTTTTTACCCCTTCTGAATATTTTTTGTTTTTTATGAAGTCTAAATAAGAGTCTTAAAATCTAATTTATTTTTAATTACACATTTTTAGAAAATAAATATTTTTAAAAATTAATTATAAAAATAATTTTGTTTGAAAAATAAAAAAATATTTTAGAAAACAAAGCTACTACTAAATAAAATTGATATTTTTTCAAAAATAAAAAAAGTTAATTTTTTTCCAAAAAAAATTGATTTTTTTAAATTAAAAAAAAATATATTTTAGAAAAATTAAAAAAGTTAATTTCTTTTGGAAAATAATTGATTTTTTAAAATAAAAAGTTTAGTTTTCTTTGAAAATTAAAAAAATCTATTTTTCAAAAATAAAAAATCCGATTTTTTCTGAAAATTAAAAAAAGTGTTTTCCAAAAATAAAAGATGTCAATTCTTCCTAAAAATATTTTTCCAAAAAAAAGTCATTTTTTAAAAAATTAAAAATAACTGATTTTTTCCAAAAATGAAAAAAAGTCGATTTTCTTTCAAAAATATAAAATCAATTTTTTTGAAAATAAAAAATTGATTTTTTTAAAAAATCAATTTTTTAAAAAAGTATTCTTTTTAAAAAATTGTAGCCTTGAGATCTATTTAAGTTTTAGGAATTTTTAATTTAGAAGACCTATTTATTTTTAAAATGTGCTTATAAGTAATCCATTCTCATCCCTATGATAGAAATACTCTACATACAAAGAAAAAAAAACTGGGCAAATAACAACAAAGCAAGGAATCGAAAACACCCACATCCAACAGATGTTCATATGCTCTTTAATCCTTTAGTCTAAATCGATATTCTACAGTTTCAATATATGAAGAAATAAACTACCTAGTTTAAGAAAGATGTACGATATTGTTATATTCATTTTTTCCAACTAGTATAATACTATTTATAAAAATTTATGCAATAAAGTTCATAAAATAATACCAACACCCATATTAAGACGGAAAGAGTAGTTAAAACTATTTCCTGACAAAATCCAAAAGAAAGCATCTATATATATATATATATATATATATATATATATATATATATATATATATATATATATATATATATATATATATATATATATATATATATATATATATATATATATATATATATATATATATATATAATCCACGCTCACTGTCTCAAACCGAACCTTCTCTTTCATTTCTCTCTCCACTACCTTCTCTCTCTAAACACCATTTACGTTTCACTTATAATTGCAACTCCATATTTTCCGATGGGTTTCCCAGTGGGTTACGCCGAAGTCTTCTTCCCAAACCTATTACTCCACACATTAACCCTCCTCGGCCACCTCCGAAACCTTGTTATCCACCTCTTCCACTTCCTCGGCCTCTCCGATTTCCTCGAAACCGACACCGTCTGGCCCCACACCAACGCAGAAACTCCTCTCACACCAGGACCTACCAAACCCCCCTCCGTTTCAGCAGTTCTGATCCGGGAGCTCTTACCGGAGACAAAGTACGGCGACCTCGCCGGAGCCGAAGAAGGCTGTTGCTGCGCGGTTTGTCTGTTGGAATTCTCGTCGGAGGAAGAGATCCGGTGTTTGAGAAACTGTAGACATATATTTCATCGAAATTGTGTGGACCGTTGGATTGATCTTGATCAGAAAACATGTCCTCTTTGTAGAAGAGCTTTTGTGCCTGATGATATGATGGAGGATTATAATCAACGTCTTTGGGATGCTTCTGGTGTTAGTGAGTTTTATAGTTATGCAGATTACACTTCTTCTTTTTAACCTTTTTTTCTTCCTTTTATTATGAAGATGAAAATATGAAATGTATATAAGAAATCAAAACAAAACAAAAGAGAAGAAAAAAAGCAAATTTTGCACGACCTCACGGTACAGTGCTACTTTTTTTAATAATGATGTTGCTGTTGGATGATGTTCATCCCCACTTGTAGTGCCTTGCAGGTTGTGATAATTAGTAGAGCATTTATTAATGGTAACAATAGCTAATCCATGGTTGCTTTAGATTTTAGTTTTATACTTAAATTTAACTTTGATCCATCTCTTCTTTTTCTTTTATAAATTAAATTTGGTTTTTGGTCTCTTGATTTAATTTTTCTTTTGTTTCTTCTGAAACTCCCATTCACATCCCATTTACTATTACTACATAGTATCTTAGATTTTTTTAAGATTATTATTCATGTTTGATGCTTAATTCTATCAATAATGGATAGAACACGTCACTAAAATTAAGTCTAAAATAAAATGAAAATATAAATTTTTAAAAAATGAAGTTGATGACCCAAAATTAGGAATCAAATATTTTTGAGAAAAAGAAATTTAAAATTGTATTTAAATTTATTTTTACTAGTTCATTTTTAAGTAGTTTGATTGATTTAAAACATAATTTATAAATGGTGGGAATTAAACTCCAATTTTGGAGATAGTTCAATTTAATATTGATGAACAATAATCAATCTTCGCACCTTTCATTCTTTAGTCTTTATTTGAGTGATTCAACCACATATTGATGTACCAAGATTTGATGAGATGAGATCATTTGAGAGAGAAGATGAATTTATGGTTTTGGGAGAAGAAAGAATTTTTTTATTGAGTTTTAACAGAATGAAATTCTCTGTATTTACAAATGAGGGTGTCTCCTTATTTATAGTTGAGATTACTTACACACCAAGTAATCTCTTTAACTAACTCAGATGTTAAACAAATACTAAGTTCCGACTCTGTCGAAATTGACTCCTTTAACAACTACATACTTTGACAACTAAAGATTGTATTTGACTACTACTCTATCGAATACATCCGACTTCGACCCTGTCAAATCTTACATCATGCTTAACACACAAAATTACATATTTAACACACCACATAATTCAATGTGTCTAAGTTATCTACATTCATCATTGTTCATAATCTCTTGAACAATTCGACCTACACAACCTTCGTCATTATGTCTGCAATTTGGTTCTCTGATCTGCAGTGTTCCAAGTTTAGCTTCCCATTTGCTACTTGCTCGCAAAGGTAATGAAACCTCATCTCGATGTGCTTACTTCTTCCATGTGCTATCAGATTCTTTTCCAAATTGATAGCACACATGTTATCGATCTTCATGGTCATTTTCCCATGATTGTTCCCTGTAATTTCTTCTATCAAATTCACCATCCATGTTGCTTGACACACACATAATGAGGCAGCTATGTACTCAGCCTCACATGATGACAACACTACTACTGGTTCCTTTCTTGAATTCCAAGCAACTGGAACATCACCTATCATAAACACATAAACAATCATGAATTTTCTATCCTTAGCATCACCACACCAACTTGAATAAGTGTAACCCACTAATGTGCATTTTCCTTCATATGTTGCATGAAACAAAATGTCATAATCGAGAGTTCCTTTAATATACCTTAGTATCTTTTTTGTGGCTGCAAAGTGTGATACCTTTGACTTCTACATGAATCTACTCACCATACCTACATTGTATGCTACATCAGACCTTGAATGACAAACGTATATTAATGAACTAATGAGTCTTCTGTACTGAGTTTGATCAACACCATCTTCATCTGAGTCCTTCGTCAGTTGGAGTCTTGGTTTAACAGGTGTCGAAGTTGCATTGCAATCCTCCAACTCAAATATTTTGAGTATCTCACTTGCATATCTTATTTGATGAATCATCAGACCTCTAATAATCTTGTAGAATTTAATACCAAGGAAGTATAAAATGTTTCTCAGGTCATACATTTTGAACTCCTTGCTCAGATTAGATTTGAAGTCTTTGATCTTCTTCTTGCACCTACCTGTTACAATAGGACATTGACATAGAGACATAGTATAAGAAGTTCACTCCTGCTTCATTTGACATATACTCCATGCTCAATTGTACACTTTACAAATTCCATCTCTCTTAGTAAACTATCTATCTTCTTATTCCAAGTTCTTGGAGCTTCTTTGAGTCCATACATGGTGTAATACCCTAATTTTTAGCCCTAAGATCTCACATATCATTTGAATTTCATTCTACAAATAAGATCGCAAGCTTTGGTTTTCTTGCCTTCCTTTGTGTGTTTATTCGTGAGAGATCACCGAGCACCCTTATTTTCTTGTTTGTTTGATATTTGTTTATGTTTATGTTTACTAATCTTAATTAAAATCCAAAGATATGTTTGTTTTCTTTTTCTTTACTAACTCTTTTTCAAGCAGAATTTGGATCAAAGATATCAAATACCAATCCCTCAGCTCGAATGAATTTTATCTGAAAAAAGTCAAAGTTGATCTGCAAGCAATTCAAAATCATTTGATCAAAAGTTTTCTAAGATTTGATTGACTATTATTCAAGAGACTCCAAGGTTCATGTGTTTATTTCCATGCCTTCTTTGACGAGTCAGAAAAATCGAGTCAGAGCCAAGACAACACATCAAAAGGCAAATTTTCACTATGTTAATCGATTAACACATTTACACATGCAAATGGCTAATCGATTAACCAATACGTTTTTTTTTTAAAATGCAGCAATTTCAAATTCTGCAGCATTTTTGGCACCAAATTCAAATGTCTCTTCACGAGAATATTCTAGATCACTTCATTTTTATTCCCCTACCTCATCATAATTGATTCCCACCATACACCTTCACTAATTACCACTTGATCATGAATTTCCCTCCAAATTCAAATTCCAAACCTAATTTGGTTTTCAAACCAAATTCCAATCCACCAAATTTTCCAAGCCTAACTCTTATAAATAGAGGCTTCATTTCTCTCATTTCACAAGCTTTTGATAGCCAAAATCACATTGTCAAATTCCTTCTTGACTCTGATTTTTCTCCAATTACCAAATTCACCAAAGCTCTTTCTTCCTTTGAAAGTTAGTAAGTTCATCATTAGAACTTACTAATATTTGAGCTAAACCTTCATCCATTCACTTTTTCATCATCAATTTCAGTAGATCAAGGCTTTGGAGTGTGGTCTTTGGAGTTGATTTGAAGAATTTTCAGATTTGAAGTGGTAATCTCTTGATCCACCATTGTTTTTCTTGATACATCCTTCACAATGTGATATATGGTTGATTCTTGTTGCTTGATCTTTGGATCTTGTAAATTGTGTTTTCTTGGTGGTATTTGTTGTTGTTTTACTTGAATTTGCATGCACAATTGCATCCTTGATCATGAGGTGTTTGAAGAAATGATAGATCAAAGATTTTGCAACTTTCAAATTGATTTTCTACTGCTTTTACAGTGTTAATCGATTAACCAAAAATAGGCACAAACCGGTTAACCGATTAATAGTTGGTTTCTGCGCCCAGAAAAATAATTTTACACTAGTTAATCGATTAACTAGTTTTGCACTGCAAATGGTTAATTTGTTAACCAGTGTCCAGAATGTGATTTTTGCTTGTTTTTGGGACTGTTTTGGTTCTTTCCTCTTCTTCTTCCAATCTCTTTTTATTTTTGCCTTGGAATACACTTTTAAAGGTCCTTTTCCTCTTTAAATTCATTGGACTTAGGGTGTAGATAAAGTTGGATAAACATTCACTAATTCAATTCATTTAAAGTGCTTTGAGTTACTGATATGTTTAGTGCTTTAATCCACCAATATGAGTGGATGAACTTAAAGATGGAATGATCTTGAACTTGTAATTGAATTTGACATTCCCTCTCCTCTTCACTTTTTTTCTTTTGATCAATGAAAATCTTCAATATCATTGGAACTTATTTCAAGTTCTTAATGAAGATGATATCGTTACCTATTTTCTTTTCGTGTTGTATTGCTTTCAGAGAGTGACTTACATATCATTTCTCTTGCATGCATTAGCACTAACATTGTTATTGACCGGCCTCAAATATGTTAGAACACAGATCAGTGTTTAAATATATCTCATTGTTTTGATGATAACACTAATGAAATTTTGTATTAAGAAAATATATACTCTAATTTTGTTCAAGTGTTTTTGTTTCAGATATTAAAATTGAATATTCTGATAAAGACAAAAATACATCTGAACCTTTTCTACGCAAGGCTCTGAAGCATCAAAAGCAACTCATCAGAAGACTCTGAAGCAGAAGCTGCAGAAGACTCTGAAGCAGAAGCTACAGAAGCATCTGAAGTGTAGCTGAAGAATTTGTATGAAGAGTTTCAAGCATTGTTTTCAGAAGACTCTGGAAGTACTTCACGCTGCAAGTACAGAGGATCTGATCTTCAAACTCTGCTCTGATTGATATTCACGCTAAAGCACATTGGCTGCAAAACTCTGATATCATCAAGACTCTGATGTGATAACTTTGAGAAAGAAACTTGTTGAAGAAGATGCTATTCAAAATATATCCGTTGGTATATCCCTTGTCCTTATCTGAACGACTCTTTCCTTATTTGTGATAGACACAAGAGTTCAGGCAAACGACTTTTATCTGAACATTCCTCTTCTGAGAAAGGAAAAGTCATTAGAAGACAAAAGGCTACAGCTATTCTACATGGTCTTCAAGCATGGGACTTTCAGCACTATATAAGGATGTCTTCAACAACACTTCAAAGTAGACGTTTTGACAAATCCTTGATATTATTCACAACTCTCATACAAACGTTCATACTCAAAAGTTGAATATTTTTATTCTTAGTTCTTAATACTTGTGTAAAATATCACAGTTGTGATTAAAGCTTTTTAGAAGCAATCTTCATACACACTTGTTAGTTTTACATTTATTTGTAAAGTTTCCTTAAGAAGATCAAGTTGTGATCAGCAGTTCTTGAGAAGACTAAGACAGTTGTCT